TAATAACAAAATACAACATGACAGGGAGAGACAATCTAAAGAAAATATAATACAGAGGGGTGCGATAATGTCCAGTGCACAGGATTACAACTACTAAAAAGCACAATTTACAGAGATCCACCAGTGGGGAGGTTTCAATCCTCTATAATCAGAAAATAGCCAGAGCGCAACTGTAATTGTGAGTATAGCATTTATTTCTCCCATGACAAAGGACTTCCTCCCCAAAAAAGATGTATTCATGACTTAGGTGAACATAACAAATGAACTACATGCATTTCTATCTTTATTAATATATAATTTAATAAATTTGCCATTGTATCTGCCTAGTGCAGTTCATGTGCAGTAGAGCTGGAGAGGGAGAAGCAGAACAAGGATCTAGCCAGTTGTGGAGCAGTGCTTATGGGTTAACTATGAAAATGCTAATAGGAAGAGAGAGCAGAGTGACAGTGAGATAAGCTCATCAGTCTGATGTTTCTACTTCACTGTCTAGTCACAAGCTGGGGGAGGGACAAGACCTATACGTATTAATTATAAGTCAATAAGTCTGCTAAAAACCATTACCATTTGCCTTTTCAAACAAGCCAATTGAAGCATTTTTAATATAGACCATAGGAAATACATGGTGCGTAGATAGTAGGAATAAGTCATCACTCACTGTCACTTCCCGTAAAAGTTCTGCTGTGGTCTATTTCAATATCCGCAAAAGGCCATTTTCTACAAATCTTAGCTTTCAGTTGAAAGATCTTTGTATTCTTCCTATTGTTATTATTATTTTGGCTAATTGGACATTTCAATAGATAGCTACATATACACACAGGTATGGTTGTAGCGCAGCCAGATTTACAACATGGTTGATTGGTATTGATTGTTTCCTTCCTGTATAACTATCAAAGTTGCCTAGTAATTAGCCTAAGTACCAGTAATTTTGTTCAAAACTTTTGTCCTGTTCCCCTTAAGGTCTTGTTCACACAGGTGTGCACATCCATAAAGACGACCTGCTCTCAGAAGGAACAGGTGCAGCCTGTAATTTTGTGCAGACCATCTACATTCAAGTGCATGCACCTGAACCTGCATGGATGCGCAGGTTTGGGTCGGTGTGTAGTTGTGTTCTGTCATAGAGATGTACAGGAAGCTGTAAACAATTAAAGGCTGCACCTGTTCCTCCCGGGAGCAGGTCCCTGCACGGGCATGCATGCCGTATGGATGTGCATGCCCATGTGAAAGAGGCCTTAATGTTTTACAGAATCACCAATTAGTCAAATGTGAGATCACATCTACAGTTAAAGTATTATTGCTGAAACAGTGCATTATTTAGCTTGTATGGTAATATGACATAGCAGCACCAGGAATAGTACTTACATTCCTGTATACAGTCTACAGTTTGTATTTTAAAGTTTTGTTATGTGACCAGCAGGTTGAAGAGTAAAATCAAAGATGAACCAAACTACAGTGACTGAATTCATCATCCTTGGTTTCTCAGCTTTTACTGATGTTTACATTCCATTCTTCTTAGTCTTCTTCCTCATGTACTTGGCCACTCTGATGGGCAATGGGGCAGTTGTCTACATAGTACACTCTGACCCAGGTCTTCATTCTCCTATGTATTTCTTTCTTTGCAACCTGTCCATCCTTGAGATGGTTTACTCATCTGTCACAATGCCAAAAATTCTCACCAACTTGCTGTCCAAGGACAAAACAATTCCTTTTCTGGGCTGTGCAGTTCAGATGTTCTTTTTTCTAGCAATGGGGACCACAGAGTGCCTTCTTCTGGCCGTCATGGCACTGGACCGTTTCATGGCCATCTGCAGACCCCTTTATTATAACTTGGTCATGAGCACTCAGAGGTGCTGCCACCTGGCAACTTTTTCATGGTCATCAGGGGCTTTTCTCTCCTTGGGACAGACAGCCTTTATCTTCAGCCTGCCTTTTTGTGGTCCAAATGTCATTGACCACTTCTTTTGTGACATACCTCCAGTCCTAAAACTAGCATGTTCTGAGACATACCTAAATGAGGTTGCAATTTTCAGTGTATGTGTGGCAATACTTCTAACTCCATTTTTGCTCATTCTTGGATCTTACACCCAGATTATTTCCACATTACTGAGAATGAAATCAGTAGATAGCCACGGAAAAGCTTATTCCACTTGCGTGTCCCACCTAACTTCAGTGACTCTCTTCTACGGTACTGCTTCCTTCATGTACCTTCGACCTCGGTCATTGTACTCTCTACAAACTGATCGGTTCTTGGCCCTCTTCTACAGTGTAGTGACACCTATGTTAAACCCACTAATCTACAGTTTAAGGAACCAAGAGGTGAAGGCATCACTGGTAAAGATCCGCAAAAGAATTCACCTTTGTTGTGAAAAAAAGTAAAAATGTATCTGTGGAGAAAACTGCTTAGTGCCTATTGCTGATATCCACAGTATTTTGTGTCATACCTGGCAAAACCCTTTGCTTTTGGAAGACATCACCATATAGTTTTTTAAATCAACCTGTGCTTTGCCTATATAGGACAAAGCAACATACCGTATATACTCGAGTATAAGCCGTCCCGAATATAAGCCGAGGGTGGGAAATGAGGCAGCTACTGGTAGATAGATACCAATAAAATTACATTAATATTTATTTAAAAGAAAAATAACCTAGCTCTGTAAGTGGAAAAGGGGGTACAGGGTACAGGGCTACATACAGATCATTTAATACATTCATGTTAGTATAATTGTAAATGTATTGTCTGCACTGTATTAGCAGTATATACTCTATATAGAGTATATACTGCTAATACAGTGCAGACAATACATTTACAATTATACTAACATGAATGTATTAAATGATCTGTATGTAGCCCTGTACTATGGATCATTTAATCCATTCATGTTAGCAGAGGATCATTGTAAATGTATTGTCTGCACTGTATTAGCAGTATATACTCTATATAGAGTATATACTGCTAATACAGTGCAGACAATACATTTACAATTATACTAACATGAATGTATTAAATGATCTGTATGTAGCCCTGTACTATGGATCATTTAATCCATTCATGTTAGCAGAGGATCATTGTAAATGTATTGTCTGCACTGTATTAGCAGTATATACTCTATATAGAGTATATACTGCTAATACAGTGCAGACAATACATTTACAATTATACTAACATGAATGTATTAAATGATCTGTATGTAGCCCTGTACTATGGATCATTTAATCCATTCATGTTAGCAGAGGATCATTGTAAATGTATTGTCTGCACTGTATTAGCAGTATATACTCTATATAGAGTATATACTGCTAATACAGTGCAGACAATACATTTACAATTATACTAACATGAATGTATTAAATGATCTGTATGTAGCCCTGTACCCTGTACCCCCTTTTCCACTTACAGAGCTAGGTTATTTTTCTTTTAAATAAATATTAATGTAATTTTATTGGTATCTATCTACCAGTAGCTGCCTCATTTCCCACCCTCGGCTTATATTCGGGACGGCTTATACTCGAGTATATACGGTATTCACTTTAATGCTGGCTTACAGCTTCTTATATTACCTTCCCTTACCTTCCCTTCACTCCCTGGCTACCCCAGTAACCCACAGCTACCACATGAAGTCTTGTTGGCTTGCACAGGGCCGAGAGTCACAGCACTGGATGTTTGTTTGGAAAATGATCAAGAAACCAGTATTGCCATGCTAAATGAAAGGGACAGCCACATGCTCCCTCCTACCTGGAATGTACCCAGGTATGTCACTTTGATCCTGTGGGTGAATAGAGCAGAGGGAGCGGGAAGGTAAGTAGAGGCAGCTGCGGGGACTGACTTTAAAGGGAATCTGTTGCTTTTCCATATACATATCTGTCCAATGGAAGAGTTATTCATTTACAGAGATATTTCTTACAAAATCTTTTTTGTGATCTGGTTGATCATTCCCTTTCTTGAAAAAGGCCAAAGGAAATACTGAATGTAACACCTGTCACTTTAGTTTACTGAAAAACAGAAAGGCCCTGATGCTACACTGGAGGAACAGATGCTTATTTATGGAAAGCTCAAACACAAATTAATGGATTGGCAATTAATGGATTGGCAATGGCATCTTTAACTCTTAAAAAAAACGTGTAGGTGTTTTTGGCTTTGTTTGAAAACTGATTAAACGTGTTAAAGTTAAAGCTGTACTCCAGCCAGGTATATCTGCCTAGAGATGCGGTTTAAAGGCAAACTCCACATAGGAATTCTATTCCAGTTGATTGCTGACAACATGAAAGACATACTAACTTCTTCTGTAATCTCCATCTATCAGGTATCTACTGGAATTCACTGTTTTGTTCAACTACCATAGCCACCATAAGACAAATTGATGGTGTCACTTTCTTTTAAAGAATCCTACATTTTGTAGAATTAACTAGGTATTTTAGCCAAAGAGTGATATTCAAATTTGGCTTGTGGGGGTAGAAATACAAGCACTGCAAGGAATTATGCCATCAATAGAAACTGTCAGGTGATTTAACCCACCAGGACTAAATTCTCCTCAGTCTGTTTTGGGCTCCAGACATCCCTACCACAGCCAACCACTTTTCAGAGAGTACAGATTGGTCAAGGACTGACATCATTGTGCATTCAGTAGAACCCTGACTAACTCTGAGTGCTACTTTACCTTTGACAGTCTGCTATACATGGGACTACAGGAACCTACATTTTGAAATAATTCATGTGATTAGACTAGCTCATTTTTATTTGTATTTGTTAATAAATACATAACTTTATTAAATAATATTTTTAAATATCTACCTTGCGTTAAGCTTGTTTGCATAACTTGTAGAACTTTCTTGGTATTAAGTTTAGAAGGAATAATTCAGCTTCTTAATCAATATGGAATTAGGAGGTCAAGATAATGTATACCTATCTATACACACCTAAAATACACATTAAGCAGGTTGTAAGGAATATGTGAGGATGGGCTTAAATTCTTCTGTTAAAAAGCTTAAATATTTTTGTTGTGAAATTATTTTTTGTATGCTTTGGAAGTTAAATATTCTCTTGTATTCATTGAAGGTTTCAGGAGGATAATGTAACATTTTGGAGCAAATATACAACACAAGAGGCCAAAACTAGACAGCAAAATGGCAAAAATTTCAACGGCAACAATATATTTGCCTTTTGTGCTGAGATAGGCTGGAATGAAAGTTGACCAGACACTAAGAAAGGTTAACATGCTGAAGGTTATATATTTGGCCTCATTATAACTGTCTGGTAGGTTCCTGGCCAGAAAAGCAACTACAAAACTTATGGTGGCCAAGACACCCAAGTATCCTACTGTGCAGTAAAACATGACCACTGAACCCTCATTACATTCTATAAGGATGATGCCAACCAAGATGTGGTAATTATGTTCAAGAAAGGGTGAAAACTTAACTACCCATGTTAGCATAATGAGCATTTGAAAGAACGTGGAATTAACAATGATGATAATGGCTGTTTTGAAACTAACCCATGTTTTCAAATTGCTCCCCGGATTGGTGGCTTTAAAGGCAAGGACAACTATGATGGTTTTGGCCAAAATACATGAAATACAAAATGAGAATATGATTCCAAAAACAGATTGTCTGAATGTGCAAATTAGGCTAGTAGGGTAGCCAATGAACATCAACGGGCAGAGAAAGCAAAACTTTAGAGAAAGAAGGATAAGGTAGCTGAGGTTCCGATTGTTGACTTTTACCACCACTGTGTCCCGAAACTTGAGAAAAATATAGAAGATCAAGCCAGTAATAACTGAAAACAGAATGGAGAAAAAAGACATCACCATTCCAAGGGGTTCCTCATAAGAGAGGAACTCAATGACTTTAGGATCACATTTGTTTTTCCCATTGTTTGGCCACTGGTCCTCTGGGCAAATGTAACAAGAAATAGAGTCTACAGGAGAGAATTGGAAACATACATTTAGCAACCAGAAAAAATATCATGCTTTATATTTACATACATGTTCGTGGTGGGTTTTGTGAGATATTTATTATACCATTCCATATTTTATCTGTTTCTGGTGTAGGAGCTCCTATTTCAGTATTTAATGAAAAAAACATTGCAAGATGATATCTTTGTCCCCCCTTACTGATTATGTGAGCACTTGTGTTTATTCATTTCATTTTCACAACAATAGGAAATCTTGGAAGATAACCTTATGTGTGTATTTATTTTTATATACATTTTTTGTCTAAAAAATTAAATTGAGAACTTTGTTTAAGTATTCTTAAGTTAGATCCTTAATAGCTTCACTTACTGCAAAAAATGGTCACAATGGGTATGTGTTAATAAGACTCGTCTTTAAACCATATCTAAACCCAAAAACAAAAATTGTATATATTGGAGCTTAATATATAAGGGCTTACGAGTCCTTAGATGTGGTGGCTTTTTTAAGTTTCTTCATGCTTTTTTTTATTTTCACCTGGGGATCCTGCCAGATCCTGTCTTAGGGTGACAACGCTTACTTGCTGTACTGTGTCTATGGAGTAGTCACCCTAGGCTGTTCTCCTGAATTACACCTACAATCACCTCTCGCATTTCTCACCTCCATTACATAAGGAGTAGGGGTTGTATAGTTCACAGAGGAACACTAGGAAAGCTATAACTTTGTTGGGGATATCAGTTACTTACACAGAATGGTACAATGACACTGGAATTCTACACATAATGTAGCTATATCATGTAAGGACTGGTAAGCTACAATCTAGTAAATGTTTTATTTTGGCTTTAAATATACTTCAAAACCGAGCTCTGGTGCTCTGCATCCTGTCCCCATTTAAGTCCTACCCTCTTGGAGCACCTCCAAAAGCTTGACACCCATGGTTCACAAGAAGTGAGCCTAATTCAACCCGAAACACTGGTAACATTGGCAAAGAAGTACTGCAGGGATTGAAGGTGAATATTGCAGGAAAAGACACTTTTTCTATTTTGACTTTGTCTGGAAAATGTCCTTAAGTTTCAAAGAAACTGAAGTTATTATTTAATACTCACTTGTTTCATTGGAGATCATTCCTTCTGGACAAGGAATGCAGTCAAAACAACAGGCAGGTTGACCTTTTTGTGGTGCCTTCCAGTAACCAGCTGAACAGTTGTCACTACAGACTGAGTACGGAACCTTAATATTAAACAAAAGAGGTCATTTTTTAATGATATGATATTTGACCTTTGTAAAGGATTAACATTTATTTTGGTAGTGAAGAGGTGTAGAGATGATGTATATGTGTGGACATTTTCATGGCTTACATTGCAGGCTTTCTTTATTTTTTTTTAAATAAACTTTTTATTAGGCCTGAATCCTAGAAATTCAAAATTTTCTCCACCGGAAATGGATTGACACTGGGAATGTATTGTAAAGTCATGGACAGCTCACAGAAAGAGCTCAGTTGTAATATAGACACTTTGCTTGCAGACCATAGAGGCGACCATTTCCATGAGGATATGAAGAGAAAAGCTAACAAACAATGTAAGTCTCCATGTTGACATACAGCAACTGCATATGCCTGCTTCATGTACACTTTGTGTACATTGCTGGCATATGTTTTTAAAAAATACCTCTGCAAAGGTGGAAATGGACTTTAAAATTGAACTTCAGACAAATGTTTTTATTTTATTTTTGTTCCTTGTTTCAAGTGGGAAAGAATTATAGCCTCTGTCAGGTGTTAATTTCCATCTGTGGCCCTATTATTGGGATTTCCCCTCACTTCCTGTCAGTCACCTTAGAACTTTTGACAGTTTTTTTTTAAATTGTTGTCTGTGTCTTCCTGTTCTTGCCACAAGCACTCAAGGCATTTGTTGTATGAGCTTCACAGCGATAGGAAGTGAGAGAAAATCTCCCCAGTGGGGTCACGGACAGAAATAAAAACCTAAAAGAATTTGTAAAGTAGGTGTAAACCCAAACTGAATCACATTTATTTTGCTCACATAGTGTATATCACAAACAATTGGTGTGTGCTTTCCAATACTTGTTTAGGGATGTAGTATTTTTGCTAAATTTCTTTTAAAAGTTTTGTGATTTTGTAGTCAGGGGTTTCTAAGATCCCTAATGTCACCTAGGGACCCCCATAGAAGCTAATGAAGCAGAGATCTGGCTATAGCAGCCAGATAAATGACAGCTAAAGGCAGAAGTGATGTAATACACATCACATCCGCCTTTAGGCATCAGAGGAGAGATCAGCAGTGGGGGAATGCTGATCTCTCCTCCGTTGCTATTGTGAGGAGCTGCTGTGCCGGTCCCAGGCCCGCAGGGGGGGCAGTGGAGCCCAGGATGACCGTCAGCGGCGGTGAAAAGGGGGGGGTGGAGGCGGGGGGAGCTGAGGGGGGGGCGGCACATTGCCATCAAACACTTGTATGTCATGGCTGGTAACGGCTGTTAAAATAATTTTTCTGGATTCTGCTTGCGCAAGCAGAAAAAAAATCAAAGTAAATACACGTCCACCTGCCGGGAAACATCCGCTGTCCGCCCATGTATTTACAATGGGCAGACAGCAAGTGGTTAACATGCAAACATTCCAATGACGGCTGCATGGCATTTCTCAGCAAAGGTTTCCTAATGGTGACGACAGAAGACCAAGCCTGTGTTCAAAACTGTAGAGCAAATGGGAGAAAGAGACAGCATTGTCACCCTATAACATGAAATGCCTAAACAAGGACATTTATGGCAGGATATGGCATTTATGGCAGGATGACATTATGTTATTTTATTGAATGCTGGAAATATACAAATATTGAAAATTCCCTTTGAAATTACATTAACAGTTTAAAGCTTTTATGAAATGTAAGCAATTGTGTTTACAAATACTTCAACTTTTCTCCCCCAGAGATGGAGGTGCTTCAGACTTACCTTGTTTGGTGATCCAACCCAGGTGATTGAAGATTCATTAATGGAGAGTTTCTCACGATCACTGACAAACGTATCAAATGACCCAACTTTCACATAACGCCCTTGGTTTCCCTCCACATGCCAGTTCAGAATATCGAAGTTTCCATAGATATCTCCATTGGCATCAAAGAATACCTCTTTCCCAGCAGTGTTGACAAAATGTACTCTCTTCAAGTAATAGAGAAGCTATTTGGAAAAAAACATAACATTTGCTGCATATTAAAAATTCACAAGATTAAAGGACATAAAACAACATAGAAGGACATAAAAGGACATAGAAAATATGCAGCTGGGTTTACAGAGTATATAACCAGAAGTACACCATTTTGACCCCATTTAGTATCATTGGATTGTTTTTATTTAAAGAGCAAAAAAAAGGAAGACAGTAAAAATGAATTACAAATAACAGTAATATTAAGCAAACTGGAGCGACTAAATGCTTTGCTGCCTTTAGAGACTTTTACTGGCTATTAAAATGTACAATTAACAGAAAAAATAGAACAGAGCCACCTGGCAAAATGACCTAGCATTATCTAATTTACTTAAAAGAGAACTTTGGGGTACACCTGTTTTTGCATTTTTAGTTTCCTTATGATACAGGAGTAAATTTTGCAATGTAGTCCTGTAATAAAAAATGCACCATAAGCTTACAATTCAGTGTAATATACTGTGGGCAGGGCTAAGCTCTGTACTGAGAAGCTATCCCGCAAATATTAACGGGATCCTCCTCTACCATTGTAGGAGCTGCTGCGCATTAATGAAAACCTATGCAGGCACAGCAGCTCAGGGCACATCCTATCAGTTTATTCATGTCAGGTCACAGGTCTATTAACACTTGCACATCCATCCCACAGTTATTCCTCCATCCCCACCTCCCTTCTCTCCTCCACACTGCTGTCTCCAGGAAATACACATACTATAACGGCACTAAGACTGTCAGTTCATCTCCATCCTCATGTCCTCGTGCTCCCGCCCTCCTCCCCTCTGCTATCTTTGGACATACACGGGGAGAAGAAGAGATAAAGACAGCAGAGTTAAGGAGAAAAAAGAGAAGAGGGGGGGGGGGGGGGGGGGGGGCAAGGTCAAAGCTGAACTGAGGGTCTTAGTGCCGCTGTGGTATGTGTATTGTCTGGAGACAGCAGTGTGGAGGAGTGAGGGGAGAAGGAATAGGATGTGCCCTAAACTGCTGTACCTGCATAGGATTTCATCAACGTGGGAGACGAGGATCTCGACAATATTGCCCGGATCGCTTCTGAGCACAGAGCTTAGCCCCGCCCACAGTAGATTACATTGAATTGTAAGCTTATGGTACATTTTTGATTACAGTAGTGCATTGCAAAATGTAAAATGCAAAAAAAAGGTGTACCCCAAAGTTTTCCATTACTTTACAATAATTGTAATGTAATGATTATGCGCAAAGTGGATTGACCCAAAGCAACCAATACAATTCCAATTTTTATTTATCTGTATGGAGAAAACTGAAATGTATTTAGTTGTTGGTTGGAAAATTAGTTTGCTTGTCTCCTGTTAATTATTTTCTCATGCTGATGGATATTGGTATATATCTACTATTAATAAAAGATATTTATATTACAACTATTAAAATTCAACATTTTTAAACATCTTAAATGCAAAGTATAATGTATTTTTCAGCCAGTTCATATATTCAATTAATACTAAAGTGTTTATGCTAAAAAACAAAAATTTACTTTCTCATTTAATATGCTTGCTCTTCTATATTTTTGTTATTGCATTTACTTTAGAGATTAGTAGGTTAAACATGAGCTAGAAATTGACTTAGTCCAATTATTCTGACTATATCAATGAATCAGCTGACTCAAAGATTTGCATTGTGAGAAGGAGCAATAAAGCACAACCATGGCGTAGCACAGCAAAGCAGAGTCCACATATGGAATGAGCAAATATTGCTGACACCATATACACATATAATTGTAAATTATGCATAAAAACATTGTTTTTTAAATATTGTGATCTAAAAAACATGAAAAGGCATTTTTTACCTGGAAATAAATACAAATAATTTGAAAAAAAAAAGATATTTCCTCATTACAGGTTCCCATTTTCTTGATAGTCCATTACAATTAAACGAAAGGAGAAGCCTGGCTTAACATTTTACATACATTTTCTTAATAGTCCTATTTTGTAACTCAATATTTAAACATTTCTTTACCTGCCAAGGCTGTATATTATATTTATCAGCGCAAGACTTCAGCTTGAAAGGACCTTCTCCAGACTTGCAGGACATCTGACTGTGCAGGGCATGGACAATAGCATAGAGAGCATTGTGGGCCATGTACACAGCTTGTGATGTTGAGTCACTGAATTCTCTTATGTCATCTGTCACTATCTTTTCTAAACCTGTACATGTCTGACCAGCAACACCTGCACTGGATAAACTGGTGTTGCCCTCATTCAACCGCCACTTACACTTAAATAAATTTCCCCAAAACTGGGTGATAGACAGCATTTTTGGATAGACAGAAGGATTGAGAGAATTGAGAAAGCTGGAGAAATGTGGTAGAACATTTCTACTTTTTGCAATGCCAATAGTGCCATTAAGGACCTTCCAGAAATTTTTATTCTGGACCACTGGTGATGTGTACCATGATTCAATACCTATCCATAGTTTTTCTGTTAGGTTTTGTTGAACAACCTCCACAAATATCATGTCACCCTCTGCAGGAGAACAGTACAGGATAATTACTTTGACTGTAGACTTACGAATATATTCTATAATCATTGGCATTTTTTTAACACTGCGACCATATGAAACAGTCTCCAAAAATGAAATACAAATGCCATTTTTGGCAGCCTCTCTTTTCAGAGCTACCACATCTTGGATATAATTGTCTGACGAGGAAACAAGCAACCCTATCCAAGTCCACCTGAATTTCTTGCAAAGTTCAATCAAAGCTTGTGGTTGGCTTTCAGTACTGATCGTAGTTCTAAAAAATGAGGGAAACTCTCGCTTGTTGCTTAAAGATGGATGAGATGCTATATAGCTGACCTGAAAATAAATATAAAAGTAATAGTATATCAGTCAGGTATTCAACTCAGTTTGCATGGTGGAAAGGAATCTTCCTTTTTTCTGCATTATCTAAGCAGTTTTGTGAGTCAGCATGCTATACATTACTTCAATTTTACCAGTTACACCACTTCAAAGAAAATGACTTCTTGTATTTAGATATTTCAAAAGCTCATTGTTTTAAAAAAATATCATAGTTATATGTAGCGTGAAAAAAAAACACACATCTCCATTCAGTCTATTGATGTATAAAAGAATCCATTAAAATCCATTTTAAAAATCTGGTTGATCCAGAGAAAGGCAAAAACTCCCTTATATAATAGTCTTGTATGAAGCAAAGAATAGTTAGAACCCCTGTTAACTTGTTTGATGACTGTGTGCCATTGGGGAGATTTCGCACCACTATCTGGTAAAATCTCCTCTTAGAAAGTTGTCACCCAAACAGGTGTTCCCATAGGAAGATTTTTTATCAGCTCCTTCTACTGTGGCAACTGTAAAATTCAGGATTACACATAACTTTCTCTTTTAGTTCCATAATGGTCATCAGAGCCGGATTTACCTCTCTGCTGCCCTAAGGCCAGGTAATTCAATGTGCCACCCTCCCCACCAAACCCCCCCAATAGAGAATGGCAACCAGATGGTGAGGGCGGCAGGGTTGGTTTAAATTTTTTTTTAAACTTTTTTTAATTTTTTATAATTTTTATCTTTAAT